ATCTTTGTGATTTATCAATGATGGAAGTTTGTTAATGGAATAACAATTAATGTGTAAAACTTGAACAAATTCCTATCTAAGTTTGTTCAGGTCTTAATAAATATGCATGTTTAAATTAAGTAAATATCTCATGTGGATGGTCAGATGAAAGATAAATATGTGAAGCTGTATAATTACTTTCTATCCCTAAAAATTGTGAAACATTTTAAAGCTAAAACCCATACAATTTAATAAAATTTAATTCATTTACTTGTACATAGATAAATATCAAAAAGAATTGTTTATTAGATAAATACTATTAATGCAGAGAAGCTATAATCACTGATATTCTATTCTGTGATTCTCCAGGTTTAAATTAAGAAGCATGCCTTTAAAGAACTTAAGGAAATTGTATATTTAAAAATGGATTTTGCTAATATACAAATGAATAAAATCTAGGTTGTTAGACGAATTTAAATAAATATGCTTGCATTTCTTAAACATCTACTTGTAAATTTATTAATTCATGTTTAAATTATCCTGTTAAGCAATATACTGATATCATATCAAAAGATATTAATTTTCCTTATTCTATATCTGTATGCACAGTTTTAGATTAATATTCTAACTTTTCATCATGTTTTATTTATAGCCATTTATAAGAAGTGTGTTTAGATATTTCATCCAGAGCCCCTTTTCTTTCTGGATGTACATTAGAAGGTATAAATAAATATTCATGTTTAACAAAAACAAAAGTATATTGTATATATACAAATAATTAATGCTAGAACATAAGTTAGTACTAAATTTCTCTTTTGAAGAAATGTGAGAGAAATTTAAATTAATATGCTTGTATAAATTTGAGAATTGCATGCAAATATGTCAATTATGAGTGTATATCTATAGAATCAAATGATAATTGTGGTAGTTTAGAAAAATAAAAGGCTGCTGTAAATGCTATGATTTGCTCTTAATAAATTGATGCTCCTTGTGCTTATGATAAAAAGACTTATTCCTGCAAAATAGTCAACACAATATTGTAATGTGATGAACCAGGTCTAAATGAACAAGCCTGTATATTTCATACATAAGGTTCTATGTGTTAATTTGAATTTGGATAATGCAAATTTATATATAACAATGCTTTATGTTCAGATAGAATCAATGAAGATAAATGTTTAAATATTAGAACAGAAGGATAATATTGCATGTTTTTGGATAATTTAGGATGTGTAAATATAGATAATTCTTAGGGTGAATTACTTAAATGTCAACATAATTTTAAATCTAATGCATAAACTTGTTCTATCTCTTCAGATATTGCTTGCTTCTATGATAATGTCACAAAGAGATGTATACAATATTCTGATCCAATTGATAATATCAACTATTCTATTAACTATAATTGGCATATAAACAACATTTCTTTTAATAAATTAACGTGTTAGAAATATAATTTATTTTTACCTGTTGCTTGGTAAGAAAGCTGTACCATAGTTTAAAGTTCTTCATTAAATTTTTTAAAATGCGAGTCCTTTTTAAATAAATGGTCCTGTATAAGTGTTAGGACTCCATTTTAATACTGTCAATATATAAATTCAAAATGCTAATCTATAGATTTAAGTACAATATAAAATCAATCTTGTGACTACATTGCAGATATCAATTCAGGATTTATTTGTACTTTAGTAAAAAATGAACCTTGTTATTACCTAAATTACATGTATAAATGTTCTAAGGTTCAACCTGATTAGATAATAGAATGTGTTGAAAAAAATCCTGATTCTGTAGGTTATAATGAATTAGCTTGCAATTAAGATAAGAAAAATTGTTATTTCAGTGGATAATGTTATAAAAGAAATATTGGCGGTTATTAGTTTTGTAATGATGTTATTCCATATAATTAATAGAATTGCATGAATATTACTACAGAAGGATGTAGATTAATTAATAATTAATGTAATACAATAGAAAATGCTCATTATTTATAAATAAAATGTGAAGATGCAATCAATTATTTTGGTTGTGTTAATATTTAAACTGCTGATTAATTTTGCCATTTTTAAGGATAAGAATGTGTTTAAAAAAGTATTAAGGAGAGTAAATCAATAGAATGCTTAAAAATTTAATAAATAAATTCATTTGTTTTTTGTGAATAACCATAAGATAATCCTTGTACTTTTGATATGTAAAAAAATGCTTGCAGAACACTGAATCCACTTGAAGAATATTCATGTGAAAGAGGATTAAATAAATTAGCATGCTTGAATTATACTAATAAAAATTTGATGTGTTCATTTTTAGAATATTGTTATGGTCCAAATAATAAGATTTTGATGTGTATATCAGAGGAAGAAGATGGATGTTGTATTGAAGCTAGCTCTTAAGAAATATGTCTATTTTAAAAAAAGTATAAATGCCATTGGAATGGAACTTGCATTAGACATGATTAAACTGATTAAAAATGTGATAATATTAAGAACTCTAGTTTCTAAGTTTGTTCATCAATATTGAATTAATTCTGCATTTTTGATATCAAAACTTTAAGTTGTAAATCTATAATTCCGTAATCTTGTGATGAAATGCAAACGCCTCAATAATGTAATCGATTAGAACTTTTGTCTTGTATTTGGGATGTTAAAAGCGAAGCTTGTATATTTAAAGAACAATCAGAATTTGATACATGTCTTGATATTGATAGATAAGATGGAAATCTCAAAGCATGTACTTAGGTAATCAAAGAAGGATAAATGTGCATATTTTAAAATAATCACTGCGACACATTTTATGAATAAAAAGATTTTAGTAATTGTGTAAATAATTTAAATAAAATTTCATGCTTGTAACAAACTAATAGTGATTGTATTTGGAATGAAAGAGTTTATTCCATTAAAAAGTTTTCGGATGCTCAAGAGTAAAAGATTATTTATGGAGAATGTATGTCTTTAATTTTAGATCATAAATTAAAATGCGATTAAAATTTAAGTTACACCTCTTGTTTTAAGGTGATTAAGGATGGTTAATTTTGTTAATGGAAAGATCAAAAATGTCAAAAAATTTAAGTAAGAAGCAACAGTTCATTTTCCATAACAGAGCTTTCATTAGTGAATTAAAATTCTTGTGGATTAGCTAATAATGATTTTAGTGTATCATATAATAATATAACTAAAAGTTGTAGGATGAATTAAAATCTTGATTTTTGTAACTTTTAATTGACAGGACTTAATAAAAAGGCATGTTAATCTTGCCCTTAAATTTATAAATGGAATGATGAAATAAAATAATGTTTAAATTCAAAGATCCCTTTACAAATTAAGTAGTGTAAATAAGTAACTGGAACTCCTCAATTATGTTCTTAAATAAATTTAGAAGAACCATGTGGATTCGTAAATAATAAATGTGATATTGTAGACTTAGATACTATCGATTGTTCCCATTTAGGTTTGAATAAATTTGCTTGTCTTAATCTTAAATTCTCACCTTGTAGATGGACCAATAATAATATGAGTGAGAACTATCATTGTGAATAATATCTTCCTTATACTCTATGTTTAGAACTTCCATCTAATGTTAATTAAAAGGTATGCTCTTTAGTAGAAGATGCTTGTTATTTTAATGAAAAAATACAAAAATGCGATATTCCAAATAAATATTCGAAAAATTGTGATTAACCTGGTATTAGTATTTTAGGATGTATTCAAATTGAAGGATGCGTATTTTAAGAAAAATGCTCTTCTTTGAAAGATCAAGATTATTTTTGTCATAAATATACTCATGCCAATTAATAAATATGTAAAAATGCTTTAAATAAGTGTAAATTCGATGAAATAATTTAGGGTTGTTCACCTACATAAAATGAGGAATGCTCAGTTAAAGGTCTAAGTTAAGTAGGTTGTGAATTTGAAAAAAATTGTGTTTGGAGTAATTCTAAATGTTCATGCAAAGCTTATTTTGAAGAATTTGATTGTGAATCTGGTAAATGTATATTCAAAAAATGTGAAGATTTAAATGAACAAGAATGTCATTAAAATTAATTTATAGATTAAAAATGTTATCTAAATATTTATAACTAATGTAAATCAGCAAGTTCATGTGAAGATATCAAGGATTCAAAATTATTCTGTAACAACTATACTTTTAATTATTACCCTTGTTTATAAGATTTAAATTATTGTAAAACATTATAATGCGAAATACTTAATGAAAATGATTGTAATTAAAATAAAAATTACTGTACATTTTAAGGATCATGTTAAACTAAATCATGTACTTAATAAAGTTCCCAACTTTGTAATTTGAAAAATTGTAATCTTTATGGCGATTATTGTCAAGATTAATAAGAATGTTCTTTTTATAATTCTCAATTGTGTCCAAAAATATTTTATAAAGGAAGAAACTGTTTATGGATTGAAAATTTAAAGATATGTGCAGTTTCTGCTTGTCGTTATTAAACTAATTGTTCTGGTACTTACATTAACTAAGAACTTTGTGTAAAATTAAATGATGATACTTGTGTTTCTTGTGAAGAGTTAAATGACAATTTTTGTTAGTGCCATAATAGTAATAAATATTGTTACTTTGACAAGCTTAATTATAAATGTAAATCGAAATAGTGCTAATCATATTTAACTGAGTAAGAATGCCCATCTAATTATTGCATTTTTTACAACAAAGCTGTATAAATACTTAATAATTTAGTGTAAAACTTAGTGTATATTTCTTGAAAATTCTTAAATTTGCAACGAGTAAAAGGAATAATGTTTGTGGAACGATAAAGACAATAAATGTAATGAAAAAATTACATAAAAGACTGAGGAATCTTCTAGTTTATGTTCTTTTCTTTTAGTGATTTCTATTTGGTTGATGTTTTGAAGATATTATTCCATATTTTATTTGGAATTATAATTATTAATATTTCTTGATAAATATTTAAAAATTTCACAATTTTTTTCTTGATTTATTAATATATTGGCATACCGACAAATCTATCTGATATTTAATTACCTTAAATAATTTTTTTCATGAAAAAGATAGTTTAAAGTATTCTATTATATTCTACAGTTTGCTTATGCTACAATTAATGTACATTATATCCTTTAGATGCTAAAGCATGTATCGAAAAAACAACTACATCATGTAAAGATAATAATTAAGTTTTTAGGCATGTTTGATGTTTTTGAAAACAAATGCAGAGAAACAGATCTAAAAGGAATAGAAACTGGATGCTTATAAAATATGAATAAAGTTGCTTGTTTAAATTAACTTAAAAATTAAAATGAAGAATTTTAATGTTATTTTGATATTAGATGTTCGTAAGCTACTTAAATTCAACTATCAAAAATGGGATGCTCCTAAAAATTTAGCAAGTATGCTTGTTTGAATGTCAAAAATACTCCCTGTGGTTGGGACAATGAATGTAAATAAATTGATTATTAATAATCGAATTAAAGTAGCTGTGAATAAGTTTATTAGATTTCATCAAATTCTCATTCATGTGCTATTTTATAAGAATTATCATGTTTAGCTTATTTATTAAATTAGGTATTAATACTGGTTCTAATGGGGATTATCGGTGTATCACTGTGAACTAAAATGATTTATAGAATCTTGATTGCACTTAGATGGGTTTAACTTTAAACGCATGTATTTAAATAAGCAAAAATGGATAAAAATGTATACTCTAAAATCTAAAATATTAGGTATTTTTTAAAATTCAAAATGCTAAAACACAGAATTATCAGAGGTTATTTCTTGCGATGAGAAATTAAATAAAGAAGCATGTTTATCTATTAGCAATCCTAAACTTCTTTGTTAATGGAATGGGAAAGCTTGCTAAAATTATGATTAAAATTAATTATCAAATGATTAAATAGAAAATGTCAATATTAGTGTTTGTTTGTTTCAAAAAGGAAATTTTAGATTTGATGAGAATGAGAAATTTTGCTATAAAGTAGAAAGCTAAGATATAATAAATATGCCTTGCAATACAAAAGGTTTATCAAAAGATGGATGTTTATCAATAAAATAATAAAATTGTGTTTTTGAAGACGTATGTAAGGAATTAAGTGAATAAGAATTAAAAGTTTATTTTTGTGAAGCTTAATTAAACGAATCTGCATGTATAAATATAAAAACAGAATTTTAATATTGTATATGGAATGGGAAAAAGTGTGAAAGATTGTTTATAAATTAAGATTAAGATTGTCCAATAGAATTTGAAGATAAAGAAATAAAAGTAAATGGAAATGTATGTTAAGCAATATCAAAATCAAAAGTTTCATGTAAATATAATGAAAAAACACATTTATGTATGTTAGCATAATCAAATGATATTTGTGAAACTCCTTTTATAAATAAAACTGGATGTTTAAGTATTAATTTAAATAATTAAACATGTTAATGGACATCTTAAGGATGTAAATTTATAAAAATAATACAATATTAAACAACTTGTAATAGTTTAGGATTTGCTAATTCTATTGCTTGTTCTTAAGTTTATGAAAATAAAAAAATTGGATGTTATTTTAATAAAAATAAAGAATAATGTGATAGTTTATTAATAGAAATAGATGAATAAGCTAATTAATAGATAAAAGAATAAAATATCAATGATTTGAGAATCTTAAATACAATAAATTGTATTGATTAACAATTTGGATTAAATAGAATTGCATGTGCATCAATTACACTTGAAGGAAAAGCATGTTTATGGCGATAAGANTTCTCATGGATTGAATGAACAAGCTTGCATATCAATCCATAAAAGTGATCAATATTGTAATTACATTTTTTTAATTTTAGGTATATTTGAAAATTTTCAATGTCGATCAATTAACTTACTAGAAATCCAATCTTGTGATTAGAAATTAAATCGTAATGCTTGTCTATCAATTTAGAATCCCTCATTAAATTGCTTATGGGTTCATTAATCTTGTATAAAATATTCTTTAAAATATAATTCTATTTGCGCATAATTAAAGGATGTAAATTCCTCTGTGTGTAGAATATAAAATGGATTATGTATGCACGATGAAACACATAAAAAATGTGTAGCGATTGAAGAAAAAGATATAATAAATATGCCTTGCAATACAAAAGGTTTATCAAAAGATGGATGTTTATCAATAAAATAATAAAATTGTGTTTTTGAAGACGTATGTAAGGAATTAAGTGAATAAGAATTAAAAGTTTATTTTTGTGAAGCTTAATTAAATGAATCTGCATGTATAAATATAAAAACAGAATTTTAATATTGTATATGGAATGGGAAAAAGTGTGAAAGATTGTTTATAAATTAAGATTAAGATTGTCCAATAGAATTTGAAGATAAAGAAATAAAAGTAAATGGAAATGTATGTTAAGCAATATCAAAATCAAAAGTTTCATGTAAATATAATGAAAAAACACATTTATGTATGTTAGCATAATCAAATGATATTTGTGAAACTCCTTTTATAAATAAAACTGGATGTTTAAGTATTAATTTAAATAATTAAACATGTTAATGGACATCTTAAGGATGTAAATTTATAAAAATAATACAATATTAAACAACTTGTAATAGTTTAGGATTTGCTAATTCTATTGCTTGTTCTTAAGTTTATGAAAATAAAAAAATTGGATGTTATTTTAATAAAAATAAAGAATAATGTGATAGTTTATTAATAGAAATAGATGAATAAGCTAATTAATAGATAAAAGAATAAAATATCAATGATTTGAGAATCTTAAATACAATAAATTGTATTGATTAACAATTTGGATTAAATAGAATTGCATGTGCATCAATTACACTTGAAGGAAAAGCATGTTTATGGCGATAAGACTAATGTATCTATATAGAAAAAGCATCTGATATTTAGAATATTCCTTGTTTACATCTTCAATTTGCTAATTCTTAGGTTTGTGCTTAAGCATCTTTTTAGTAAGAACCATGTAGGTATTTTTTATAAGAAAAAGGTTGTGTTAATTCTATTATTAATAATATGAAATGTGATTAACCTGGTTTAAATAAATTTAGTTGTTCATTAGCAACAGGTAGTTGTTATTATAATTATTAACAAAAAAAATGTTTAACAGTCAGTACAGACATAAATAAAATTCCAAATCCTCTTGGAATTCTTAGATGTGAGTTAGATTCTCCAACTTAGCTATTATGTTTAGCTATAATTACTCCAGGTGAATTGTGTCTATGGAATAAAAGATTAGATTAATGTTCTAATATTAATATTTAATCTCTAATAAATAGAAGCTGCAATGATTTTACTAATGTAAATAGAAATGTTTGTTCTTAAATAACTTCAGAGTATCCAGATGATAAAAACAAAGGATATTGCTAATATGATTCTGAAAAAAATTCCTGTTCAATAAAAACAGAATATTGCACAACTAAATGTTGTACCGAAAATGGTGCCATAGGAATAAATCCACATTCATGTAGCAAATATTCAAGCTAAGAAGAAGGAGATTATTGTTATTTTATTAACAATAGATGTAGAGAACTCACAAATAATGAGTGTGATATCTCAGATCTTTCAGCAGTTAAGATTTATATTAATTCATAAAAATTTGACTGCCATCAATTGAATAAATCTTTATGCCCACTACTTGATTCTAATCCTTCTAAAAGATGTTTCTATCTTGGTTCAGCTTGTCTTAACTTTAAACCTGCAAATAATTTTAATTTTGAGGTATTAACTGTATTTCCAGCTCTGACAAACAAATATGTCTGTTATTCAATAGAAGCTTCGCTATAAGACAAAAATAAATTTAAATATTTTGATTATGATGAAGCAAATTAACGTTGCAAAATTGTCCAATACCCTTAAGATTTTAGTTTTAATACTTGCGAATAAGCTGTTGGTAATAGAAACATTTGCTTAAGATACACTAGTAAAAACTATTGTAAATGGGATGCTATCAAATTAAAATGTGTAACTATTTAAGAAGATGAGTTAGTAGAAATCACTTCTTGCAATTAAAATTAAAATTTGAAAGCATGCATCTACAACTCTCGTTTAGCATGTTACTTTTCTTATGACTTTGATCAATGTCTTGAATCACCAAAAAATGTCAATTGTGCATATTTTAACAAGGCAGGACCAGTTACAGAATTAGTATGTAAATAAATCACAAAACCAGGTTAATTATGCCAATTTTAAGATAATAAATGCATAAGTCCAAAAAAAATTCCTAGCTATTGTGACATATATGGTGCAAATATAACATCTTGTTTAAAAAATACAAGTATAGAATGTAGATGGGATTAAAATTCATCAGAATGTTATAATAATAAAACAGATATTTCAGAATTAGGTTGTTTAGATAATTTAAATATAATAATGTGTCCAAAAATAACAAAAGAAGCTTGTTTTTGGAATGAAGATGTATCTTAATGTTAAATATTCACTTCTATAAGTAGTTAATAATTTTAATAATTGAATTCTAATAACTCATATAATTTAAAATCTTGTCTTTTAGTTCATGGAGCTGGTTATTATTATGATAAAAATACTAATAAATGTGTTTAATTAAGTAATAACAATTATAAATGTGATTAATATTAAATGAATGAATATGCTTGTTTATATTTGACTAAAACCAATCGTTGTTATTATGATTAAAATTAAGATCCACTAAAATAAAATAAATGTAAAACTTTTATAGCTGAATAAACTATTTGTAATTCATCTTTTCTTATTAATATTGATGTTTGTATGGACATACCTAAGTCTTGTATATTTAATTTAGCTAATCTTCGTTGTTAATCATATGAAGTTGAAGATACTACTACTTGCTCATTTTTAAATTCTTTACAAAATAAAGGATAGTTTCCTAATAAACTTGCATGTTCTTCAATCAATCCAGATATTAAAGAACCATATGGAAATTAATAATGTTATACAGATAAAACAACTGGACAATAATGCATGTATGAAAGATTTTGTTTTTTTGCAAATTATGGTTGTCATATTTTTTAATTTCTATTATTCTATTTTGACTAATAAAACTATTCAAAAACAAAAATTAAGATGTGTAGCTTTTCGGAAAGAATAGAATTTAGAGAAGATGTTTAAGAATGCTCAAGTGTGGTTTCAGAAATGAATTCCATCAAAATAGTTTAAGATGGAATTAAGTTGACTCCTATTTATGATACCACCTTTTAAAATTGTAATACTGGAAGTAAAAATGAATACCAAAAGACAGATTCTAGTTGGAGTATTGATAACAAATTTGTTAGGCCACAAAGATTTAACGAGGATTGTAAAACTCCATGTGGTATAAAAGGTTAATAGACATTGAATTGCATTACAGATTCTGACTGTAACAGTTAATTTTTTTAGAATTATTATAGAAATTATATTTAGGATTAAAACTGTTGGATTAAAAAATGTGTTTATCATCAGAATTTATGTTCTTAAAATAATGAATGTTAAAATTATCCACAATACAACTATTCTAAAAATCAAACAGAAGATACATCTGGTTCTTGTTAAAGTTATTATTGTAGTGGGGAAAATGATTGCTATTGTGAATAAACTAAACAAAAATGCCGGACTTATAATGATTGCCCAAAATATATTCCGGAATGGTATAATAATTACATAAATAAAAAAATATGCAAAGAAATAGAAACATTTGAACATAAGCCTTGGTGTATCACAAAAGTATTAAACATAATAGATTGTTTTCCTATATATTCAATGGCACTTTGTCTAACAAATTCTAAATGTTTTTTTGATATAAATTAAGGAGGATGTATGTAATTGGAGAATAATTAACATAAAGTACCTAAATGTACTTCTATGATTAATACTTGTAGAGCCAGTGCATCTATTAAGGCTATATGTTAAGCATCAGAGATAATTGAGTAACCTGGACCTATGTGTTATTCTGTATAAATTTCATAAACAATTTGTAAAGAACTTTAAAGTTATGTTCGTCCATTTCCTTGTAGTAGTATTAAAAAGGAAGATGCTTAACCAATATTATGTGCTCTTGCTATGGATAATTGTAGATTTAATTAATAAATTTGTGTAAGTGATTTAGATAAAGGTAAGTGTAATTGTGACAATTCATATAGCAGAAGTTTATGTTTGAAATGTAATTGTTTTTATGATTACTCTGGTTTCTGTTAATAAGTAAAGCTGCCTCCATAATATAATTAAACAAATAAGTATTATTTGTGTGAGGAAGTTAATTTATTGCCAACTTCTAATAAATAATAAATATGTGGATCTGTAGAATAAGCATGCAAATATGGAATTAAATGCGAGGATGCCACTCATAATACTTGTGATGATTTATTAGGATTCACAGTATCATAAAAAGCATGTACAAATTGTAAAAGTTTTGCTACTAGATATGACCAATCTATTTAATAATGTTTAGCTGTTGATGGCAAAACATTTTTCAAAAATTGTGAAAATTTAAATGAATTAGCTTGCTTATAAAATACTTCAGGTGTTATGTGTAGTTGGAAAGATTTTAAATGTACCCTTATTGAAAGTAAAAAAAAATAAATTGATCCTACTAATTGCAATTTATTGAATTAATAAGCTTGTTCATTAGAATAAATAAATTTATGTTGGTTTGATTAAGATAAAAAATAATGTTAGGAATATGATCCTTTTAAAGGAAAATGTAATTAATTATTGAATAAAAATCTTTGTGATTTATCAATGATGGAAGCTTGTAAATGGAATAATAATAATTGTGAAAAACTTGAATAAATACCGAGCAAAGTTTGTTCAGGTCTTAATAAATATGCATGTTTAAATTAAGTAAATATCTCATGTGGATGGTCAGATGAAAGATAAATATGTGAAACAGTATAATTACATTATATCTCTAATAATAATTGTGAAAAATTTTTAAGCTATAATCAATACAATTTAATAAAATTTAATTCATTTACCTGTACAAAGATAAATATCAAAAAGAATTGTTTATTAGATAAATACTATTAATGCAGAGAAGCTATAATCACTGATATTCTATTCTGTGATTCTCCAGGTTTAAATTCAGAAGCATGCCTTTAAAGAACTTAAGGAAAGTGTAAATTTGATGGATTTTGCTAATATACAAATGAATAAAATCTAGGTTGTTAGACGAATTTAAATAAATATGCTTGCATTTCCTAAACATCTACTTGTAAATTTATTAATTCATGTTTAAATTATCCTGTTAAGCAATATACTGATATCATATCAAAAGATATTAATTTTCCTTATTCTATATCTGTATGTTCAGTTTTAGATGATTTAGAAAAATTTTCAACATCCTTTATTTATAGTTAGTAATTGGGGAAATGTTTAGATATCTCTAATAAATCTCCATATATTAATAATTGTCAGTTTATTGGTATTAATCGAAATTCCTGTCTTTCTAAAACAACAGTATTTTGTGAGTTTTCATAGAAGGAATGTAAAGCAGTAAGTTAAATAAAACTAAGAGCAAAAGAATGTATTGAAAATTTAAATTGGTTTGCATGCGTAAACATGGATATTCCATGTAAATTTGTAAATTATAAATGTGTTCCACAAAATGAGATTGAAAGTTGTGTAGGTTTATAAGAAGAAGGATCAATGGTTAAATCAGATGTTTGTTCTAAAACTGTTGATGTACCATGTGGTTATGATGATAAGACAAAAAGATGTATGGTTTTAAAATCATAAAATTAATGCACCGCTCTTGGAATTAATAAAGATGGGTGTATTTTTAATACAAAAGGATCATTTTGTAAATATGAAAATAAAAAGTGTATAGTTTCTTATGATGATAGTAGATGTAATGAATTAATAAATTATGATAAATGTTTAGGAATCAGAAGATAAGATTAAAATTGTTAATTTAAATTAAATATAGGTTGTTAAAATTTAGATGAAACAATAATTGATATAACAAAATGTATGAATATCGAAACAAATTCTCCTACTTGTTCAAAAGCACTTGATAATCCTTGTTATTATAACTTAGCTACAAAATAATGTTAAATTTACGAGAATCCAACAAATGTTGTACCTAAGAGTAAAGGTTGGTCTAATAGTTTATCATTTAATGTTAAGACTTGTTAAATTTATAAGGTAAATTTTATGAAGACTTATTGGAATAACATTTGTAAAGAAGTTTCATCAATGTAGCTCTTTACTNTACAAAGATAAATATCAAAAAGAATTGTTTATTAGATAAATACTATTAATGCAGAGAAGCTATAATCACTGATATTCTATTCTGTGATTCTCCAGGTTTAAATTCAGAAGCATGCCTTTAAAGAACTTAAGGAAAGTGTAAATTTGATGGATTTTGCTAATATACAAATGAATAAAATCTAGGTTGTTAGACGAATTTAAATAAATATGCTTGCATTTCCTAAACATCTACTTGTAAATTTATTAATTCATGTTTAAATTATCCTGTTAAGCAATATACTGATATCATATCAAAAGATATTAATTTTCCTTATTCTATATCTGTATGTTCAGTTTTAGATGATTTAGAAAAATTTTCAACATCCTTTATTTATAGTTAGTAATTGGGGAAATGTTTAGATATCTCTAATAAATCTCCATATATTAATAATTGTCAGTTTATTGGTATTAATCGAAATTCCTGTCTTTCTAAAACAACAGTATTTTGTGAGTTTTCATAGAAGGAATGTAAAGCAGTAAGTTAAATAAAACTAAGAGCAAAAGAATGTATTGAAAATTTAAATTGGTTTGCATGCGTAAACATGGATATTCCATGTAAATTTGTAAATTATAAATGTGTTCCACAAAATGAGATTGAAAGTTGTGTAGGTTTATAAGAAGAAGGATCAATGGTTAAATCAGATGTTTGTTCTAAAACTGTTGATGTACCATGTGGTTATGATGATAAGACAAAAAGATGTATGGTTTTAAAATCATAAAATTAATGCACCGCTCTTGGAATTAATAAAGATGGGTGTATTTTTAATACAAAAGGATCATTTTGTAAATATGAAAATAAAAAGTGTATAGTTTCTTATGATGATAGTAGATGTAATGAATTAATAAATTATGATAAATGTTTAGGAATCAGAAGATAAGATTAAAATTGTTAATTTAAATTAAATATAGGTTGTTAAAATTTAGATGAAACAATAATTGATATAACAAAATGTATGAATATCGAAACAAATTCTCCTACTTGTTCAAAAGCACTTGATAATCCTTGTTATTATAACTTAGCTACAAAATAATGTTAAATTTACGAGAATCCAACAAATGTTGTACCTAAGAGTAAAGGTTGGTCTAATAGTTTATCATTTAATGTTAAGACTTGTTAAATTTATAAGGTAAATTTTATGAAGACTTATTGGAATAACATTTGTAAAGAAGTTTCATCAATGTAGCTCTTTACTTTAAAATGTACTTCACTCTTAAATTTTTTCTCTTGTGTAAATTTAAGAACACCTTTTGAAAATTGCAAATACATTAATAATTAATGTATTGAAATTGATTTGAATACATATGAACCTGAAAATTGTTCAAGTATCATAAATGTAAATAATGGTATTCTTTGTTCAATGGCAAAAGATGTTGCATGTAAATATGATTAGAATACTTTTAAATGTGTACCTGTTGGAGGGAATGAAAATACTTTTTGTGTTACTACTAGACCTGAATATGTTGGTTATAATAGATTAGCCTGTTCAAGAAATCCTTAATGCGTTTTTGTTGATTAATGTTTTAAATTTGTTGAAGGAAATTATTACTTCTGTGAATAAATTGATTAGTTTTCAAACTGTAAATTAGTTTAATTAGAAGGATGCTATGAATTAAATAATTAATGTATATCCATCTCAAAATCTTTATCGCAAACTCTTTAGTGTAATTCAGTTATGAATCCTATGGGTTGTGTTTAGTTATAGACTTAAGGATAATATTGTCGATATATTTAAAATTAATGTATTTAAGAAAATTTGTATAATTATAAGAAAAAGAAATGTTCAGAAATCTCTTAAATTAACAGTCCATAATTCTGTGAGAAAACTGTTGATGAACCATGCTTCTATAATTATGAAACGCATTCTTGTAATGCTAAAATAGATCAATTTTAAGATTTTGAATGTATTAGAGGTTTGAATAAAATGGCTTGTCTATAAAACACCTATCAAGATTTTTAGTGTTCATTTTTTTATTATTGTTATGGTCCTAACGATCTTATTCTAAATTGTAATTAAGATAGTATAAATTGTTGTACTCTAGCTAAAACCATGGAATAATGCTTATTTTAAACTTAATTTAATTGTTTATGGTAAAACAATTAATGTTATGAATATCTTGAATAACTTGATAATATTGATTGTAATTCACTTACTAATGTATCAAGAAGTGTATGTTATTCATTGATAGATAAATTCTGTATTTTTGATATAAACAATCTAAAATGTTAAGAGATTACACCAAATACTTGTAATAATGTGTAAAATCCTAATCAATGTAGTAGAATAGAAACTATTCCATGTTATTGGGATTTTAAAGAACAAGAGTGTAGAATTAAATTTAAAAGTTTATCAGATACATGTCAAGATATTGCTTAAATGTATGGAAATTAAAGAGCTTGTATTGATGTAGAAAGAGAAGGAGAATATTGCTAATTTATTGATTTTACTTGTTCAACTTTCACTGAAGATAAGGTAAATAACAATTGTATTGAATAAATTAATAAAAATTCATGTTTAAAACAAACATAATCTTTATGTTATTGGAAAGAAGATGTACTTAATTTCTAAAGTGAAGATAACTCAAATACTTCAGTTTAAATTGGTTTTTGTGAATTATTTAAATCATAAGAATCCTCTAATTGTGAACCTAATCTTAGCTATTTATCATGTCTCAATATAACAACAAATATTATATATTGTTAATGGAAAGACTAGAAATGTTAAAGTTTTACAGATTACAATTCGCTTAATACTTAAATTATTTCTTAAATTAATTGTAATACATGCAATCTAATTACAAATGGAAATTCTATTATTTTTGATCCATAATTTTTTAGATGTATTACTGTTAATGACCATAAAATTTTATAATGTAATCCTCCATTACCTGGAACTAATATAGATGCTTGCTTAAAAGTTTAGTATTAAGAATGTAAATGGGATAATACACATAAAATTTGTACCATTTTCGAATTGATTCAATAAGAGAAACCTTCTCGTTAAATAAATAAAACTTCTTCTTGTAATATAATTTACGCCAATCAAAAAGCTTGTTAAATGTTATAATTGTAAGAATCTTGTGGAGCTTATGACCAAGGATGCTAATAAGTTGATTTATAATCTATTAAATGTAATCATTCGGGATTAAATTAATTTGCATGTTTGAATCTTATAAGTTAACCTTGTAGATGGGTTGAAGATTAAGATAATGGAGAATCATATTGTGAAGAATTCATTCCTTTTGATTTTTGTCTAAGACAACCTAATTTGGTAAATGATGTTGTATGTAGTTTGGTTGGTAATAATGATCCTTGTGTTTATAATGAAATTACAAATTAATGTTAAGCACCTTTAGATTATTATTCTAATTGTTAAGTTAGAGGTATTAATTTATATGCTTGTATTTAAATTGATAATTGTTTATTTATGAATGGATAATGTATTACTTATACTCCAAGTATGAAATTAGAATGTCATGCTGCAAAAAATGCTAATTATAAAGTTTGTTCATAAATTATGGATAAAGGATGCAAATACAGTTAGATTAGTTAAGGATGTATGAATTCATCATCCTTCGATAGTTGCGACACTCTTGGATTTAATAAAAAAGGTTGCTTATAATCTTTTGGCTGTGAATGGACTTATAAAGGTTGCGAGTGCTCAGAATATTTAGAATTAATTAAACCATGCAATTAAATTACAGATAGTAACAAATGTAAAAATGACGACTAATGTACTTTTTTAGTTTTTTAACCAAATTAATCAAAGTAAATTCCAGATTCAACTTAAGGGAGATGTATTTAAAAAACTTGTGATTAATTCGATTCTAATTAATGTGATAACAAAATTATACATAAATAGAAATGTTATTTAAATTTATAAGGAGAGTGTTTATCTGCAACTGAATGTAAATAAATTCAAAATTCAAAATTACACTGTTCTTAATTTGTTTTTCAAAATCTACCTTGTATTAATATTGGGGAAAAATATTGTGGTAACTTTATTTCATGCGAATCAATTTTAAAAAAAGAAGAATGTCTCTTATATCAAGATTATTGTTTCTTTACAACAGCATGCATTTCTTACACATGCAAAGATTATAAAACTGAAGATAAATGTCTACATAAATAATGTAGTTGGAATTAAATACAAATTAAAAAATAGCATTAATGTATTGACTAAATACCTTGTGATTTAATAACTTCTGAAAATACTTGTAATTAGAATTTTTATCAAAATAAAAAATGTACTTGGCTGAGTTCTTTGAGTGAATGTTCATATTAAACTTGTAAAGATTTAACTGATATCTGTGAAGGTAAATAAATTTCATAATATGTTTGTGTTTAATTAAATGATAATTCATGTGTTTAATGTGAAGAAATTAAAGACTATTGCATTTGTTTGAATAAAAGTTATTATTGCAAATATAATTATTAAACAAATAAATGTTAATCTTTAAGTTGCTAAAGTTATACTAAAGAAAATTGCCCACCTGAACGATGTTAGTTTGACTCAAACAATAAAGTAATTAAATAAATTAATTAGATTTGTCTTCCTTAATGTTAATTTCATTTTAATAAATATTAATGTGAGTAAAAAGAATCGTCTTGTAAATTTAGTAACTAATAATGCTAACAAATCGAAACTAAACCATAGGAAGAAGAAGAAATCATAATAAAACGAATACCAAACCAAACTTTAATAATTTTATAACCTATATTATTTTGGATTCTAATTATACAATGAAAAATTGACATTTTTATTAAAATGATAATAATCTATAAATCTAGTTTTATTATTTATATTTACTATCAGAAAAAAGTGTTTGAGAATATTATTTTTCAAAATATATAAATAAAATCCATCTATTCTAATTATGTATTAGTATTTATTTTATATCTTTATTTCTTAAATCATCCTAATAAATTTAATCCATTTTTTAATTGATCTTAAAAATAATTTTCATCATCAAATCATCTATATAGTTAAGCTTCAAAAGTCTTATTTGCAATCATAACCAGAGCAAAAATTTAAATCTTTTAATTATTGATTATTTTTTGTTATGGAATAGTTTGAAGCATCCTCAAATTAGTTCTGAATTTCAAAATTACTTACTATGATTTGTTTTAACTAGAATAAAAATAGAAAATAATCAAAAAATTATATAATAAATATTGTTAAATAATTTAATAAAAATCTAAAATGAGATACTAAAGGCATATTCTATTTTGGATTTATCTTTTATGCATCAGCTTCTTATCAACAATAAATGCGTCTGGTAAATGTAATTATTATCCAAACTCTTCTATTAAATGTATAACAAATACAGAAAATGTCTAATGTAAATTACATTAAATTAAGTGATAGGTAAATATGACCTTCAATTAAGAAGGTGTTTAGATACTAAATAATAAAATTTAGGCTGCTCACCTTATTTAAATAAGGAAGCATGCATCAATTAAATGAGCAATTTTTAAGGAGAGAAAATATATTGTATAAATTATTTATCAAGAATTAGGTGTATTTTTCGAAAGATGTTAATACATTGAATATGCAGAAATCTAAAAATTAGGGTGTGATGAAAGACTTAACAAATTAGCTTGTATGAATCTATCAACATAGAAATGTTTTTGGGACAATAAATGTAAAACAATACAAGAAGATATAAAAAATAATAGCCATAATTATCAATAATTCAGCTTCTCTGTGACACCTTACACTTGTTAATTAATTGAATCTGGTTTATGTAAGCATAAATTTTTAAATAGTTATTAATGATGGATTTCAAGGAGATTTTAAATGTGTAGAAATAAGATTAGATTAATTATCTAAATTAACATGTTAAGAGTCAGGTTTAAATCAAAATGGCTGTCTGGCTATAACAACTAAAGATTAATATTGTAATACTTTTTTTTATTCAAAATTAGGCATATTTTTAGATAATTAATGTAAATCAATATAACCTGACTAAATTACTTCATGCAATTTAAAATTGAATAAAAATGCTTGTCTTTCAACAATAACGCATAGTGAAACAAAATTATTATGTGAATGGGTGGAATCCTCTTGTAGAATATTTTAAGAATAAGATTATTAATGTTAAACTATAAATTAAGTGAACATGTAAGTTTGTTAGCATTCATAAGAGTTATGTAAGTATAATGAAGAATTGAAAAAATGTAGAACTATTGAAATAAATGAAATAAATAACTTAAAATGTAATACACCAGGATTATCTAAGAAAGCATGTTTGAAGATAAAATCATAAAATTGCTCATTTTATAAAGGAAGCTGTTAGGAACTTAAATAAAGCGATCTTTTAACATATTAATGTGATATGGATTTAAATGAATCAGCTTGCATTAATTTATTAAAAAGTTCTCAATATTGTTTATGGAATGGAAATAATTGTGAAGGCTTATTTATAAATTAAGAAATTGATTGCCCATTGAAATTAAAGTAAGTTTAAATGAAGGTTAATGGAAATGTATGTTAGGCAATATCTAAACCAGATGTGAAGTGTAAATACGATAAAAATACTTAATTATGTATTTCAAGTTCATTTGATGATTTTTGTGATACTCCATTTCTTAATCAGAATGGTTGTCAAAGTA